TAATTACAGTTGCAATTACTCGCATGAATCCTTACAAAGATTTAAAAAGAAGTTGCAAAAAAGTGTCCAAATTAGGTTTCTGCAATATTCCAATGGATAATTAATTAAAATTGAAATTATCAATTTCAGAATTACGTTTGTTTTACACAAAATTTTTGTGTTAGTATTGAGCACTCATGATTTTACAAAACGAAGTAATAATTTATTAATTATGAAAATTAGTTTTATATATGTAGAAAAATATATGCAGAAATCAGTAGAAAACCATACCATGGATGATAATATTTCTTTATGCAATTAGTACGCAGATAGGGGTGAAAAAATAGTTTGACGATAAGAAAATATTTGAAATTCAAAATTCAGAAACTCTTATGAACATAAATTGTTTTTGAAATTAAACAAACTCTGAAAAAGTTCTGCAAAATTAGAGTGAACTTTTGTATAATTTTAATTCCGACTTTTTTAATTCCCTCCACAATTCTTCTCGTAAACAGACATTTAAATATTTGAAAAAATCTCAAAGCTTTTAGTGTAGTTTCGCGGCGATGAAAAATATGCACAAATTGAAAAAATTAAAACAAATTCAATTTATTTTTGATATGTTCACAGCTACTTTTAGTACAAAACTCAAAAAAAATATGAAAAGTGCTAAGAATTTTTAAAATTGAAAGTCTTTTCTTTGAATGTGTCAAAATGAGTAGTAAGTTTTCAGTAAAGTTTAGTTCAGTTTTGTTTTTGAATGAAAAGTTGTCTAAAATATCGAAAAAACAAGTATATTTTTACGAGCTATTTTAGTAAATAGCACTAATTAGACTTCTGAACAATCGCTGTTATCAATTTAAGTTCTTTTCACTTTACTGATAATACTTTCCGTTCATAAACATATAATTAGAAGCAATTAAAAGCATTAAAGTAAGCAAAAACTTCCTACTAATATTGACTCGTTACTATTATTGTATCAAACATAAGTGCAAAAAGTAACTGCGATTTGCGATTAATATTTGCGATATTTTTAAGTGCTAAATTTTTGTTTTAATTAAAAATTGTGCTCATAGAAAAGATATAATATTTTATAAATTGTTTATAATTCAGAAAATAATTAGAAATCATTTTTCGTTCCTTATTTGTGATAATCGTACGAACTGCATTTGAGATGATTTTTGTAAATACTAAATTAGGATCGTAAGTAAATCTTGCTAATATAATGCACAAAATGATAACGATACGATACGATACGATATGATATGATATGATGTGATATGATAAATTGGTTGAAAAGTGCCAAACTATCATTTTGTTTCAAACTTAATGCAATTTCGATGGTTAATTTGTTATAATTTCGAACACAGCAATGACCAAATAACAATTTGAAAATAAATGCTTTGCTCAGTATATTTTATTATTGAGTAAATTATAATTTTTAAGTAATTGATACTTATACAAAAGTTAATTTAATGTAATGCTAATATTCTGTTGCAATATATTTGGTAAAAGTTAGAATTTACTAACAAATTGAAACTATTTATTCAAACTTTTGTTGCAATGACCAATTAAATTAAATTCATACTGGCTGTTTTAATATATTTAAAAAATTAAACTTAACAGTAATAGTGTTTAATAGATTACTCAGTCTACACATAGCTTAATTTTAAGTCACACTTTTACAAGCTAATCTTTTTTTAAAAAAAGAGCGGCATTTTCCTACTACATTATCATATAATGTCGTATTTTATTAAGCTAAAAGTTATACACAAATTTAAAGATTTAAATTGAAACAATTTTAATAACTCTTTAAATTATTTTTTGAATTTGTTAATTTTTATTAAATTAGTAAAAATGAGACCATATTTTAGTGACGACGGCTTTCAGTTGGAGGTAGTTGCAATTCCGGAAGAAAGCGTTCCAACAGAGTTTGTTATTTTTGCATTTGCCAATAATACAAACTATTTAAATTTCAAAATAATATAAAAGTTAATTTTTTATTATTAATTTTTTCATAAGAAATCAAAGAGAGATTTTAAATGTAAACAAGCATATTATATTATTATTAAAATTTGTTTAAGCAAAAAATAATAAGTAGCATAGTTTTAATAACATTTACTCACAGTTAGTTTTATTTGAGTAAAGAACTAACACAATTAAGTAAAATTTATTTACTATTTCGTTTTTGAATTTTATTTCTTTTGTAATAATACTTAATTTATTATTTTTTACTAATTTTATCTAATAGTTATGATCGATTCAAAAAAAATCAAACTTGCCCTATTTGAATCAAAAGTTGAATAAATTATGACTGAAAATATTTGAAATTTTGGCTAATTATAAAAATAAAAGTCTTTAATTTAGAGTATGATCAATTAAAAGCAAATTATATATTATCTACTGAAAATCTAAAAATAAAATACTAAGTAGATGCAAAATTTTTGTAATAATATGGCAAAAAAGATGACATAAAATGTAAAAATGTACGACTGACTTGAGAAGAAGAAAGAAGTCGTTCATAATGAATTCCTTTTAAGTAATAATGATAATTATACTACTAATACTACTCCTGCTAATAATAATAATAATAATAATAATAATAATAATAATAATATATTGCTTAATAATTGTATTTGTACGTCATAAATTGTATAGTATATATAAAGTTTCCTGGCAGAGTTATTTGCAAAAAAATTTATATAATATACATTTCATATTACAAATTAAACTTAGTTTAGTATGTACATCATAGCAACAAACGTATTATTATCTGCATGTTTTGTATAAGTTTTTCTTGCAAAGATCTAATGAAGTATTAAATCAACTTTGACACAGGTCAACTATTATTATTATTCCAGCAATACAGCAACAAATGCATTATCATCACTGACTCCATCTCAACGCATTGTGAATCAAACTGCAGACAAATCAAGTCAAAATGTAGAAAATTCAGAAGGATCAAACGTCAATAATTTATCAGTTAACGAATTGGAAACAGTCCATATCTTGCCTGAAACCTTTGCAACAGTTGAAACTTCTGCTATTCTTACTTCTCGTAGAAAAAGTAAAACTCAAAATATTGCGATTCATACTACTGCTGTAATTTATAAAGTGCCTAATTCAGCGTCAACAAAAGATTCACTTGATACAGTACATTATTCAAAACCAATTACATCCACTATAGTACCATATCAAAAATCTCAAATGTACAGTAATGGCCAAGGTCAAATTACAAGTACAAGTACAATGATCTCCTCGCAAAATACTAGCAATAGTTATTCTATAAATACAACAAAACTGAATCATACAACATCACAAATATCAGTACAAACAGTAACCGATATAAATTCTGATCAAATCACACAGATAGTACCAAACGATATTCAACTGAAAGAAGTAAGTAATAATAGTGATACAAAGTTAGTGAATAACACTTTCGATGTTAAAAGTGAGTTAGATGAGTGGAAATGGGAAGAAAAAGAAATGAATAAAAAGCAACATTGGCAACAAGCAGATAACCTGAAATCGACTGGAAGTGATCCTGAAATTCTTCGTACCAAAAGTAGTCCCAAACAATTCTCACATGCCTTTCTTATTTTATTTTCACTTTTACTGCATTTCAGATATTTTTGCTAAACTCTTATTTTAGTGCTTTGAACTGTAAAATTACGCTTACTGTTATATTTAAACCTGTAATTGCGGTTGTGTTATTTGTTTGATGTTCAATTTTCAGTGCTAATATGAATTATTTGATATACATTAATTATATTTAAATTTGTCATTTTTGCAATTATTAAATTCAAAATGTGTGCATGCGAATTCAGTATTAAAAACTTACTGATATATGCTAGTAATTTTTTTATAATTTAAATAATTTTGGTATACAGTCTATGTATTAGTTTAGCATTACATATTCATACTAAGTAAATATTGCTTGGAACGATATAATGTGAAATTCAACTCGATATCATGAGTATCATGATATTAATTGATTTACAATATTTTAACTTAGAATTAATTCCCTGAAGAGTTTATTATAGTAATGGTTAATTTGAAAAGCTTTAGAATAATATTTTTAAATGAAGCATTTTTTGTTGTATCAAGCATTTATTATCGTTGTTTTCTTTAAATATTTATGTGGTTTGTAAAACTGTGTATTTTTCTTTATTCTCATAAAACCTTACTGCTAAATTTGAGCAACAAAAATGCGATTAACAAGCATTCATCATCAGTCTAATTACTAATTAATTTTAAAATTCTAATTAGCAATCTTAATTATTGTGTAATTTTAAAATTCCTTTCATAAAATTAAAAAATCATATTCTATAATCAATCGCAAATATCAAGAATGAATTCAACAATAAAAATATTGTGGTGAATTACGTTACAATAATTACGCAAATTATTAAAATTTCTGTATTGTGGTGAGTTTGAAAAGCTCTGTCATGAACAGCCAAAATGAACAAGCGGTTAAATCCACCTGTCATGCAGAAATAGCTTTCTAATTTCTTTAATCACTCAGCAAAATTTTATATCATTTTAATAATACAATAAAATGCACGAATTAATGGTAAGTAATATTCGAAGAGCATTGCAAGACTTTGTTGATTGAATTTTTTTGTGTATCTAATAATTAAATACATTTAATTGCATTTTAAGGAAACTAAAGGTTTTAAAGTAATAAAATTTGTAATTTCGATACTAAATTCTAATTTTTAGTCATTAATTCATATATATAAATTGTATTGTTACAACTTGCATAATTGTTTTCCGTTAATAATGAAAAGATGGAATGCCTAGCTAGCAAGAATGTTAGCTTCTAACATTTCAATCTTTTCAATTTCATTCAATTCATGAATTATAATTCTCAATTGATGTTAAAAAATCTGAATTCAATTTGTATAAATTCAAGTAAATGTCTAATTTTGCCAGTTGTGAACTATTTATTTGTCAGTTTACTTTCATTATTGTTTGTTTCTCAAGTTTATCATTATGATATTAATTCATTTACAATTTTTATCTCAATCATTCACTGACTGAATCTTACATAAATTTTCGCAGATAAAAACAATAAAATTATGGCTTTATTAATTTCAGATTTTTTGATTTTGTAAAATTAAAGTGAATGAAATTAGAAAATTATCAGTAATCTTATCATTAAAAAGGTTACTTTGGATTTTAACACAGAATTCCATTAATAAGTTTATATTGTTTGTTCATTTCAAGTATTTAAATTTCATATTTGAGAATTAATGAGTACTCAGATTCTGATCAAACATTTGGTAGTAACGGAAAGGAATATCTGTATTTAATACATTGCATTAAAAACTTGGGTATTCTAACATCAAAGGCAAATTAAGAAAACTCTAACTTTAGTATACAAAATTATTTTATTGACTTTTTTAAAAAATTGTTCAAATTCATTGAGTTTTTGAATGTCATTTATCCCGATCACCACATGCTCGATCAATGTCATCACTGAAAATCAATCAATGTGGTTTGAGATTTACAAATCTGAGGCTTCAAGTGATACTAATTTTTTATTAATACTTAAAATTCAACGGCATTCAGGTTGTCTTAAAATGTATTCATCGTTTCCTCAGCTCAAAAATTATAATATCAAATTATTTAACTCCAATAAATCATTTATTTTTTTTAAATAATTTAGTATACGAAATACAACTTATAACTGAAAAGTGATAGCAAAGAAATTTAAAGTGAAAACATTTTAAAAATGGAAAATGAAATTTTGTCGTAAAATAAAAAATTATACAGTGAAAAAATTGAGAAAAAGAACTATTTTTATGATCACTACAGCAAAATTCGTCAAATTGTTTGAAAAAATTATCAAAATAATAAACAAAAACATTAAATATTTTAAAAAATTCAATTTTGTATATTTAAATATTAAAATCTAACTTCAATTTTTATGATTTATGCTATTTTGACTGTATTTATTTTTGATGAAATATTCGGTATACATTGAAAAAATTCTAAAAATTAAGCAAAACATGATTTTGTCAGTAGTTTGATAATATAAAAAATGCAGTAATACAAATTATAATAACAAAATTTTGTTTAGAAAATTTTGTATTATAATTAATTATCATAATTTAGCACGATTTCGATTAAATTTGCAATTTTTCAGTTCATGTTATGCCAATCAAGTTTATTTATTATTCAATATACTCAAATTTATTTTTATTTGCAGAAAGTAAGTAGAAAACAAGCTGCTTCAAGAATCTTTCTGATGGACACCTTGTTGAAGTCTTTAATTTTGTTAATCTTTTGCAGTTATTTTGACAGAGCACAAACAAATTGTCTTACTGATGTAAATTATTATTAAATTAAAATTTTTTTCTTAAATCGAAATTATTCGCTCATTTTATGCATTTTTAGCACAAATTTTATGAGTAGTAATTTATAATAAAATATTGAATCTTAATAGATTTTTTAAGACTTTGTTGAATTAGCCTGCTTTTTTCTCAAAAGCTTTCAGAACCAAGTAACCGCTTTTCCCTCATCTAATAATACAAATTCAAATGGAGCTATGTTTGCTTCTACGAATACAGCGTGAGCTATTTACCAAAATACTATTGAAATTACTATAAGAACTGATTTAAATAGACTAATTTGAATCATAATTATTATATAATTATGAACATAAAGTGGAAGCTAAAAGGAAGAAGTCCGCATCTGGAACCATAGAGGAAAAACAGATGCGGTTGGGAAAAGCTAAGTGAAGGGTGTAAAAGAACATACTGCCAGTGTACCAGAACCCGGTGCCAGTAGAATGATCACGCTTGAAGCAGTCGTCCGTGAAATCGAAACCCCACTTTCCAAGTAGCCAGAAGAAGTACTGAAAGCGGTCCTTGACCAATTTGGAAGAATGTCGAGAGGGGTATGGCCCTTGTGTCGGTCTTTGTATAGCGAGAAGTTTTCGTGTGCTATTACCTTGCAGAACTGAAGAAGCAAGCGAATTCTGTGATCACCAGAATTGCAGGTCGTCTGTGCTCACAGAATGGTTCTTGGAGGAGTCTACGAAACGTGTCAGTTTCGAAAATACGCTACGCAAATCTAAGATTTATCTAGATGTGAAGGAAAAATATCTAGTGCTGATGCAAGAGGCAAAGAGACGTGAAATAAACCACACAAAGTGGACGTAGAAAATAACATCGGAGAGCGTAGACCCGCTCATACTTGGAGCAGTAAACCAAGCGGCGGGTGAATATGCTACACAGAATCCCCCCAGGTCAATGACTGATATTGCAAGGCAGCACAACAGTGTTTTGAAGACATGACGAGATGAGAGAAGAAGCAATTAGGGTGGAAAGCAAGCATACAAAGGAAGATAAGCTTGTTGAATTTCCACAAATCCCTTATAGAACGGACTTTGGCCGGTGAAAAACTGAGAGGTAAAGACTTAAAAGAG